ACCCCCCCCCCCCCCCCCAAAAAAAAGAAAAAACAAATCCTAATTTTTCATCGACTTAATTAATTTCCCAGTCAAACATCATAAAATTAGCAAACGAAAAACATAGAATAAAAACTTCAAAAATCGAAACAAAATAAAAACCATATCTCTCTAATTAGAGACTGAAAAATTCTCTCCAACCAAAGCTTTGGTTTGCAAATTCCATGTGCCGCAACTAGCATACATATTTTTCATCACTAGCAGGAAGCAGGGGAAGAGATTCGCATAAATACTCCAAGTTCTTAGCCATCCCGACGTGCATGCATCTCCGGCCGCATGACTCGGACTCGGACCTATTCAGGACTCCAATGATCTCCTCGAACAACCATTCATCGCAAGGGATCGCTAAAGGACCAACGTTGGAGAATCCATACTCCTCCTCAGCCTCCGCGAGAAGCCTTCGAAAGATCGGATGGTTCAGATGTTTCGCACGTACGACGTATCTCCGCCTATTCACGCCAACAGCAACCGCGACGTGTCCAGGAGGTACATCTGAAACAGGATCGCTGTTGTGAGCTTTCTTACGCCATTGTTTCAGCATCTGACGGATCCGTACGACACTTCCTATCTTATTGTTCTTACCCATCTTCTCTAGGTTACAAATGAAAAATGAAAAAGGGTTAAAGAAAAGACATTTTAGGCGTTGCTCTTTAGGTTTTGGGATAGTTTCAGCAAGCAGGGGAATACTGAGGAGGAGCGTGTGACTTTTAAAGATCAGGTAGGGTTTTGTAAATGCCCCTTAACTTTTATTTAAATTACGAAATTACTCTTTTCAAATTATGAAATTAATATATGGTTTTTTATTATTTGTTGCTCGTTTCTATCTGTTTTAAAAATTCTTACTAGATTTTGACCCGCGTTTTCAAAGCGCGGGTAATATACTGTTTAATTCTGAGTATCCGGATCCTCGAGTCGGGTCTGCATCGAGTTTTGTCGGGTTCATGTCTTTCGGGTCTTAAAAATTTGGACCCATATAAGTATCTATAATTTTTTGGGTCGATTTCTGATCAGGTCTTGTCAGGTTTGTTGGTTCGGGTATATTATCGGGTCGGTTTGGGTATTTAGGACCCGAAAAGGATCCGAAGGACCCAAACTAGATCCCAAAACCCGAAAACCCTAAAAAGGCCCGAAAACCGCAAAAAAAATTCGAAATTTTATCCAAAATCAGACCCAAAAATCAAAAATATACCCGGAATTTTACCCCGATACCCGAATTATATTTTTTTGAAATCTAAAAGTTACCTAAAACCTAATATTATATTCGAAAATCCAAATCTGAAACTTTAAAAAATACCTGAATTATCAAAAATATATCCAATCACCTAAATATACCTAATATATACCATAATTTGTGGATACTTAGAATACCCGATCGGGTTTCTAGTAGGACCCGGACGAACCGAGACCTGCGGATCCAAACAAAAAATACACAACATATACTTTAGCAATGACCCGAACCTGGACCTGGATCTGTATTTTCGTGTCGGTTCTTGTTCGGGTCTGTGTCAAATACTCAGACGTACTTCTTTTGATAAATTTGTAAACTTACAAATATATAATTTTTTGTATAGATTTGAAGCCCATTTCGTTGCAAATAAATGTTAAAATTATTGGGCTTTTAATTGGCGATTTTCAGTTGGGCTTTTAACATAATTTGTTTATTTAAGAACTAAGATTGTATACATTAGTATTGGATTAATTTGAATAGAGTTAGTATTTATAAATCACATTTCAGTTACTGTACATAAAATAAGGTTAGGGAACTGGATTGTAGATATGGTTTGCATAGGGTTTGAATAGAGTTTAGGATATAGGATTATTTAAGAACTAAGATTGTATACAATAGTATTGGATTAATTTGAATAGAGTTAGTATTTATAAATCACATTTCAGTTACTGTACATAAAATAAGTTTAGGGAACTGGATTGTAGATATGGTTTGCATAGGGTTTGAATAGAGTTTAGGGTATAGGATTATCTGAATAGAGTTTAGGGTATATGATTATAACATTTGAAGATGTTATAGCCCATTTGTAGATCCGAAATATTGAAGCATATTTCGTGAATCCCATTTAATATTTCGTGAAGCCCATTTAATAAAAAGAAAAAGTCCAGTTTTGCAATATTTAAAAAAAAAGAGGCAAATCTTGTAATTTCCTAGAAAGTTCAGGGGCAGAAACCAAAACAGTCATCTGCTTTAATAGTATAGATCTTTGACTTGTAAGTTGTAAAACAAAATCTATAGCAAAAGACTTATAAAATCTCAGCCACAAAAACAAAATTAACTCGACTATTACATCTCTATATGAAGTTTAATGTACAACAACCATTAGTTTTACATGCTGATCACTACTTAGTTAGGAATGTAGGATGCATTAGCCCTATAATTCAAGATCTTCATTTTATGCATATCCTATATTCTTACATAAGCTTATGACAACACGTAACTGCTATTGATAAAGTTTGGCAAGCACAATGAAGGTTATAACGATATATTTAAATAACGAAAATATCAGCTAAATAGACACATCCATTGATCTTATTGCCGGTAATATTGACTGATGGTACGAACGCTAGATCGGATGATATAGGTTGTCGTCGATCGATAACTCTATAGGAGTATCGATCGTTATAGCATCAGATCGAATCAAAAGTGTGTTCACCAAGATCATAGACCGGCTCTCGCATAACTCTAGAGGATCTAAGCTCATGCCAAATGATTTCAGGACAATGATTAACAAGTTAAATCACATCCATGATCATACTTTAGGTAGTTAATCTAGAGTAAGCATTAGGGTTCTTTTGGATAATGAATATCAATAATTCAACATTCCATAGTTGGGGCTAATCCCTCATAACTATTTGAACCCTAAATCTAGCAAAGAAATCTACTCGGACATAGCTGAGAGATTCAGCTAGGTAATAATAGAAACTCATAGATTAGAGGATTGAACTTTTGGTTCTTGGAACAACAAATCTTTTTGTGTGTTTCCTCTAGATCTAGAATTCTATAACCTTTTAGAAATTAAGATGAAAAGAAATACTTTATAGAATAGAACAAAGTAACAAGAGAAGTATGCAAAGTTTTTCAAGTACAAAAATAACTAGAACAATAGAAACATTCAAAAAGCATGAAAGGCATTCAAAAGCATGTCTAGCTAAACACAATGACAAAAACTATAAATAAAAGTTTCATTAAGTTAAAAACTCGTCAGGGGCATTATTGTAATATTGGGAAGATTTGAGCTTCAAGTCGGCCAAGTTGGACATGTTCTCCACGCATCATATCGATCGATGGTACATGGTGTACATCGATCGATGGAGTATCTCGACTTCATCTTCAACAGAAGCGTCATCGATCGATTACACAAGGTGTGTATCGATCGATATGTGTCCTTATTGTCTGATCTTCATAGTCATCTCGGAAAATTCTCATTTAAGCTCCAAAATGGCACCTAAATCATCACTTTACTCCAAAATGCTCATGAACCTGAAAATATACCTAATAGACTCCAAAACATATATAAAACTCATAAAAACATATCAATACCATGGCTAAAAGCGGGTCAAAATCATGGTATATCAACTCCCCATACTTAACTTTTTGCTTGCCCTCAAGCAAACTATTAGTCTCTTTTGAAAGAAGTTTAAAAGCAGTAGGGACTTAATAAAATCTTAGCTCTAAAATCATCACTTCTACTTTGTTGCAAGCCACATCTCATATTGCTAACTACAAAAGTACATTATACCATATCCTAGCTTAGCAGCCAAATGCATCTAGCCAATCAACTTAAACAATCATGTCTGTCTATCCCCTCTACTGATTTCATTTATGCATAAAATAAAGGTGTAGACTTTACCTTGGGAGTATCGATCAAATAACACTTGGATTCAACTCATACAAGTTTCAGACATTCTCATCATGGTTCCTTTTCTCTCTTTATCCCCCTTCTCTGAATCCCAAACTTTCTTTTCTTTTATTTCAATCCCAATGAACAACTAATGTTCATCTTATTGATCTTTCAACTTTTGTAGTCTCTTTTTGACAAAGTGTAGGCGAATAGTGGGGTCATAGGTAATGTACATCTCACTCGCTTCCACAATGTGTGATCATTCTTTTGATTTAGAATAGTGGGATAATGGGTAATGTACCTCTCCCTCTCAGGAAATCATCTCAATCTTTTATTTTCTCATGACGGGATGCCAAAGGAAGGAGAGAAGGAAACCAAAATTTTTGAGACTTTTACTTTCCAGACTTGCATGAGGATTCCGATCCCTTGTATACCAAGCCCCAAGACAAGCAATAGATGTCAGGTTAGGTTGGAAATCAGCTTTGGTTCTTCCAAACAATCATGAAAAATGTTGTCATAGGATGATCGGTGATCCACTTTAGCATCTATAGTACTTTCTGCAATCAACAATTCTAAGAATGGTGCTAAAGAGTAGTAAGAGAAAAAACAAAAGAAAAAAATTTTGAAATATTTTTGTCCCTTTCTTGACTCAATAAAACCAATTTTTGAAAACTTTTTAAGATATCAAAAAGGTAAAGTAGCATCAGTAATTAACAATTTTGATGCTTGACAATTCTTTCTCATTAGCTTTCCTTTTATAAGGCTTCTGTATCTTCTCTTTCCTTTTTCTGAGAAATCTTCCATTAGTTTTCTTTTCTATCTCCATGGACTCAAAGATATCTGTGGGTCTCTCCAAGAATGCTTTCTGAGGGCTTCTAGTAGTGTAATACCGCTCCCGGCATGCGTCAATACGTGCACCATCTATCTTGGGGAGTTGCACTCGGCGTTGGGGTACCGTGTATCGGGCGACACTGACTGGAGTGCGTCGGTCGATATCATGGTCTTCCTGCCGATCGATAGGAGAATGATCATGTCGGTCGATAATGTGCGGATCGATCTTGACAGGGACGGGCGGATGTGGGTGACGTGCTGCGAAGGCTTCGTGAGGCATAGTCTGGACGGTACTGCACTCGTATTGTACTCGTCGAAGTCTATCGATCGACACTCATCAAAGTCTATCGATCGATGTACATGGGATCGTATCGGTCGATGATCACGGGGTGATATCGATCGATAATAGTCGCGAACGAAGTCTCTCTCATCATCAGATTGTTGAATCTCTTCTACTACCTCTTGCCAAAAATCTTCATCCAGGATGGCATTGATGTTATGGTTGTTGGCAAGCTCCTGCTTCCTTTGGGCTTCTACTGTCTGAAACACCTGAGTCTCCAGCTTCTTCATATGGGTGTTTAAAGCATCTAGCTCTTTTTGGAGGGTGTTGTAGACGGAGTCGATCTTCCCATTGAAGTTTGTCTAGAGTTTCTGCTGACTCTGAAGGATTTTGTCAAGCATCTCCTCCAGTTTAGTATCTTGGGTGGGTGGGTGGGTGTGGGTTGGAGTAGAATGAGTTTCCATAGCTCATGTTGTTGTTGGGGTTGCTGCTGCTGAAGGTGTTGGGCTTCTGTGAATTCTGGTTGAAGTTGCTTCTCTGGCCTGTGTAGTTTCTGTATCCTCCTTGGTTACCAGACCTCTGAAAACCAGCTCCACTGACCCAGTTCACATCTTCGTTTATATAATCTTCACCTGCAGTTTCTGCATCCTCCACTGAACAGATCTGCTTGTTTATCAACTTCTGAATGGTATCCAGCTGTGCTTGTACTTCATTGATGTATTCCTTCCCAAGGAATGATGTAGCTTTTGTCTTCATGAAGTTCTTCGTATTGTTGCTGGAAGCTAAGTTATCAATTAGCTTCATAGCCTCTTGTGGATTCCTGGTGTTCAAGTTGCCATCACTAGCTGTATCAAGAGCTCTCTGATAATCCAATGTGATGCCTCTGTAGAAAGTGCAGAGAAGTTGCACTGTGTTGAAACCGTGGTGTGGGAAATCTCTTTGGTTGGACTTGAATATGTTCCATGCATCTTTGAATGACTCTTCAGGATTCTGAGTGAATGTAGCAATCTTTTTTCTCCATTCTTCAATGCATGACTCATCAAAGAAATTACGCAGGAATGCGTTCTTGATGTCACTCCAGGTTGTGAGAGAACCTGGTGGTAGTTGTCTAAGCCACTGGAAAGCTTATCCAGATAGAGAGTACTTGAAAAGCTTGCAGAGAAGATAGTCTTGAGGGATTCCATTGGCTTTTATGACGGTTATGAGATCCTCGAACCTCTCCAGATGGTCCATAGGATGCTCATTGGACAACCCACAGAAGGGTATTTGTCCTACAAGGGAGTAGTACTGCGGCTTAAGCTCGAAATCTCCTCTCTGAATAGCAGGGGGGCAGATGGCTGATCGGTTGGAATATAACTGATCTGGACGGTTGTAGTCAGCCAAAGATCTAGCTTGGTTAGCCTCTTCTACAGGTTGAATGATGTCTGTAGGTGCAGTCTCTTGCTCAGGTATGATCTCCTTCTGAGCGTTCAGCTTCTGACCTGCTGCATTATACGCAGGTAACCATCTCGATCACGCAGGTCTCCATTCTCATCGGTAGTGAGAATAATAGGTGCTACCATGTCTCGCCGGTTAGTATCGATTGATGTAAGATGAGGTATATCGATCGATGTCGGATGAAAGATATCGGTCGACGAACAGTTGTTGATGTCGAGCGATGTGGCGGTGAGAGTATCGGTCGACGTTGAAGGTGTCTCGGTCGACTGTGGTAGGCAAGTATCGATCGACAAGGATGTGTTGATGTCGATCGATGAGGAGCGCAGGTCTTTGCGGATGCTACGTTCCAAGCCGTGAGGATCTTCTGAGTACAAAAGGTGTTTGTTCTTGTTGCTTCTAGTACTGCTGGGCATGTACCTGAAAAAGACAAGAAAATTTTTTTGGTGTCAGAAGATAGTTTAAACAATAAAAGAAAAGTAACCTAGACCTAATCAGATTAAATCTAATGTTTTCAAAGTTCCCTGGCAACGGCGCCTAATTTGATATCACTCAAATGTTTAACCCTAAGAAGTGAATTACTCTCTCAAATAAGAGGTTCAGTTGTAGTACACAGGGAAATCCACAGGGAACTAAGGAACTCAATAGATATAATCCTAAATGATTATACTAGGTTGATTAGGTTTAAAATAGTAAATTACAGTTTTGTAAGCAATGATAAGTTGCTTGAGAGAATGGGTTTTAGGTTTTAAAACAATAAAAGAAAGTAGTTAGATTTAAGGTTGCTATTCAGATATTTAGGATTATAATGCTATAGATGTTTTAAATGAAATGCTTGCAAGATATATGAGAACTTTGATTCTTAGATAGATCTAATAGCAGTCGCTAAATAGACACATCCATTGATCTTATTGCCGGCAATATCGACCGATAGTACGATCGCCAGATCGGACGATATAGGTTGCCGTCGATCGATAACTCTATAGGAGTATCGATCGATATAGCATAAGATCGAATCAAAACTGTGTTCACCAAGATCATAGACCGGCTCTCGCATAACCCTAGAGGATCTAAGCTCATGCCAAATGATTTCAGGACAATGATTAACAAGTTAAATCACATCCATGATCATACTCTAGGTAGCTAATCTAGAGTAAGCATTAGAGTTCATTTGGATAATGAATATCAACAATTCAACATTCCATAGTTGGGGCTAATCCCTCATAACTATTTGAACCCTAAATCTAACAAAGAAATCTACTCGGACATAGCTGAGAGATTCATAACAGCTAGGTAATAATAGAAACTCATAGATTAGAGGACTGAACTTTTGGTTCTTAGAACAACAAATCTCTTTGTGAGTTTCCTCTAAATCTAGAATTCTATAACCTTTTAGAAATTAAGATGACAAGAAATACTTTATAGAATAGAACAAAGTAACAAGAAAAGTATGTAAAGCTTTTCAAGTACAAAAATAACTAGAACAATAGAAACATTCAAAAAGCATGAAAGGCATTCAAAAGCATGTCTAGCCAAACACAATGGCAAAAACTATAGATAAGAGTTCTATTAGGTTAAAAACTCGTCAGGGGCATTATTGTAATATTGGGAAGACTTGGCTTCAAGTCGGCCAAGTTGGACTTGTTCTCCACGCATCATATCGATTGATGGTACATGGTGTACATCGATCGATGGAGTATCTCGACTTCATCTTCAATAGAAGCGTCATCGATCGATTACACAGGGTGTGTATCGATCGATATGTGTCCTTATTGTCTGATATTCATAGTCATCTCGGAAAACTCTCATTTAAGCTCCAAAATGGCACATAAATCATCATTTTACTCCAAAATGTTCATAAACCTGAAACCATACCTAATAGACTCCAAAACATGTATAAAACTCATAAAAACATATCAATACCATGGTTAAAAACAAATCAAAATCATGGTATATCAGATAGGTAGCTAATAAAATTAGAAAGAATATCTTCCACTTGTCTATTTAACAACTAGATTCTCTGTCTCTCTTTACTTTTGTATTTGTTTAATAATTTTTGACATATATTCAAGAAGAATATGCACGTTTTAGGTGTTTTTAGGCCATCGGCATTAATGAAATTTACATGCGTTTCTTATCAAGAAAAAATATTAAAAAAAGGTACAAGATGTGTTTCTTGTAAAAAGTAAAAGGTAAATGAGAGAGATAAAAAGAGGAAGAATGACTCTTTATGAAGGTGCTTTCCATCACAATGCAAAAACCTACTTGCCATGACTCCTTTTAAGAGATACACCTATTTTTAAAGATAAAAAATTTAAGCATAAAATTAGATAATTTTATATAATAATCTCTAAAAACTTATTTTGAGATGTTATCACTTATGATACTCTTATATTTTTGATTTGGAAACAAACCGATTTGCAATTACATTTCATAGAAATTCATTAAAATTAAAAGACCAGAACTAAACTAGAAAACTAATTAAGATGAAACTAATCATTAAGTGCGTTAATGTCACTATTGATTCAACTGATCATCATTTTAACTTAATTCGTATTGGATTATGCTTTGTCTAATAGACAAAATGAAATATTTGATATCATACTCTGAAAAAAAAAACTATTTAATGTTGGAGTTACATCAGTAGTATCCGGATTTCATCTGGACATCTTTTTTAATATATGGAACCTTTTCCGGCATGTTTTTCTTGTAACAAACGGATACATTTACACTCAGCGCTCTCAATATTTCATGTTGATCAATTTATTTTTCCGCCAATGATGGACACATATTTACTAATTTAGGGAACTAAAAGATGGTGTTACATCAGTAGAAATGTATTTTTCCATCCGAACCCAAAAACGTATTTCTCTCGCAAAATAAACTTTCTCACTATAAAACGCAAAATGCAAAAACCGTAAAACATGACTATTTTGTCATTTTCATAACAAGTGCATCTAAATGCTACAAGTTCAAAAAATTTAAAACAAATAAACATAGTTGTATTCAGATGCTTCATCCGGATGTATAAATGAAAGATATAATCGAACAATATCCAAATAGACCATCTATATAAGACATGTAGATGAACCATCTTGATGCATCTCAAAGCTAGTCGTTATTTGAAACGCAATAAATAGTATAAACCGGATCGGACAACGTTTTAGCTTTGAGATAGATGTTAGAAGTTGACATATTAATAAAATGGGCTTATAACAGGCCCAGGCTTGTAGTGACGTGGTTATCCCGACAAGCAACGTTGTTTCCTTCCACTCATCTAAAAAAAAGACAAAACAAAACTATAAGAAAATAAATAAATAGATAAAATCAGACCAATATAACCACATCTCTCCTTCTCTCTCTCGCCAGATTTCAATCGTCGACCCCGATTTGAGATTTCAGATCCGAGATACAAAGATTATAGAACATGTCTACGTTCAGCGGCGATGAAACAGCTCCCTTCTTCGGTTTCCTCGGCGCCGCAGCTGCTCTCGTCTTCTCCTGTAATTTCCTCTTCCTATTATCATCGTTGTTCCTGTTTTCTTGGAATAATGTCTGAGATTCGTATATTTTTCTTGATAATTGTCTGTGATCGCTTGTTTAATTGATTGAATATTTAGTCTCTTAGGTTCGATCTGCATCCAGAATCGAAATGAATATGTAATTTATTGGATATTGTTTTGCCTTTGACCTTGGATCATGTGATTGATCAATGCTTTTAAATTTAAGTCAATTCTTATTTGCCTATTAAATCTGAGATGAACATTGAGTTGACCTAGTGGTTAAAACTCTTTAGATTATAAATCGAAGAGGTCACAGGTTCGAATACCGTTGAAAGAGGTATTTTAGAAATGGTGATTAATCTGTGAATTTTCATTGTATTGATGATATAGGTATGGGAGCTGCATATGGAACCGCAAAGAGTGGAGTTGGTGTGGCTTCTATGGGAGTGATGAGACCCGAGCTTGTGATGAAATCCATTGTCCCTGTTGTTATGGCTGGTGTGTTGGGTATTTACGGTTTGATTATTGCTGTTATCATCAGTACCGGGATTAACCCCAAGGCTAAATCTTACTACCTCTTCGATGGATATGCACATCTCTCTTCTGGTCTTGCTTGTGGTCTTGCTGGTCTTTCCGCTGGAATGGCAATTGGGATTGTGGGTGATGCTGGTGTCAGGTTTGTCTCTCTTCCTAAAGCTTTAACAATGTATTAACATTTGGTGCTTGACTTGTCTGTTTGCTGTTCTTTTTTTCAGGGCAAATGCTCAGCAGCCTAAGCTTTTTGTTGGGATGATTCTTATCCTTATTTTCGCAGAAGCGCTTGCTCTTTACGGGCTTATTGTTGGAATCATCCTTTCCTCTAGAGCTGGCCAGTCTAGAGCTGAATGAGAAAATAACCACAAGATTTGCTCCAAGTGGTATTACTATGTATCATCGAAACTTAAAACATTTACTGGATTCTTGGAACTTTGTTTCAGAAGCAAAACCAGCTTTTGTTATTTATTGTTTGTTTCTGTAATAAAGAGCTCGGAGGAGCTTGGTATCTTTTTTTTTTGTATTGTCCTGAGGAAGTTAAAATACATTTATTTGTAAAGAAGGATGCTTTCTGAAACCATCTTGAATTTTATGAAATTTGTCGGCGATGTATATCTGCTCTTTTCTCTGGTGTTTGTGCTCCATAATCGATGTTGTGTTTTCTTGTAAAGGTTTACGTTTATCTTTATTATTTGATTCATGTTGAAAGTTTGGATAAAAAGGTTTGATTTGCTTTTTGGTATCTTTTTCACATAAGTATTTCTCCATGATTTAAGGTTTAGATTATTTGAAAGATTTTTATTTTTTTTTTATTTATATGTCAATATATTTTTTTTTATTTATATGTCAATTGTTAAGATATGATGGTTGGGATATATCTTTATTTGTAGTTATCATAAACCTTACTAGTTTATGATTATCCTTTGGCATGTAATCTTTATTCTAGTAGGATTCTAGTTTATCCTTGTCATTGGATAGATTGTAGACACCATATATATATGTGTGTCGTGTGGTTTAATGAGATACACAAGTTACTACTCTTCTAATC